AAGTTGGGGATCATAGTATTGTCATCCCGGGGTTGGTAGTTATAGAAAGCTGCACTCCTGTTGGCCATTTCCACTACGTGAGGGTCCTGTTTAACACGCCTCATTTTGGAAGTTTTCTTGGCAGTCTTGCCTCCCTTGGCCCCAGATCTTTGGCGTTGAGGAGCTGGATGTTCTAATTTTGAAGGCTTTTTGTGACTTCCCACTTTTCGGTACCTTGTAGTTGATTGCACACCGTTTTGGAGTGCTTCTTTGGTAAGGACCCATACATTCGCCGTTTTCCTTGGTGTTCCATCAGGAGATGAAGTGTCTTTCACACCTTCGAATGCCTATGATAGGTGATAGGTTTAGTAAGATAGATATTGCAAGGATGTGAAGAAAATTTATAGGGTATAAACTCACTGCATTCATTGACAGGTTATGTCGTATGCTATTTTGCCAGCCCTTTGAATCTGAATTCCTTGCCTTATTCGTATTCTTTTCGAACCATTCGTAAATCTCTTTCAGTGTCATCTTGTTGTCAGGAACGGACTGAAGGGCTCGCCATATTAATTTGGAGTAGGGCTCATCAGACTTCTCATCATCGGATTCCCCTTCAGACAAGATCTGACCTGCAGAAGCCGCCATGGGCTCTGGACTAAGGTGAAAATTGTTAGACTCTTCCGATGGGCTCGACACGGGAGAATCTTCAGGCGACAATGGAAAGCCAGTTCTAACTAAGTTCGAACTTAAACGCTCCATCGATAGAACCGAGGGATTGGGGAACGAAAATTGCTGGTGAGATGGTGATTGTTGTTCATCATGAAATTGGAGGCGTGATGAGGGCATATTCTCTAGGTGGGCTGGAGGAGGCCTGGGGTATGATAGGGATTGATTGAAATTTTCGCCACAAGAAGTTGCATAATTCTGACCGAAACGAGAGGCAGTAAATAGTGATTCAGCCGTAGTATCCTCAAACAAAAGATCGTACCTTCCAGTGTCAAAAGGGGAAGTATAATTAGTGCAATCGGAGCTGGGGATAAAGTTTTGGTCCATGGCGAATTGGCATGAATGCTGAATTAGAGTCGATGGATGTAGAACCGCCTTTGGATGTCGCAGACAATTTGGATCTAGGTTTGACAAGTCGTTAAAGCTCGATACAGAAGTAGAGCAGGATGAAGAGTTAACGATATGGCCGGGAGGGGCGATATCAGCGAAAGATAACGGCTGTTCTAGTGGCGGTGTCCCATAGGCCGGCGCAGTCTCAGGCGGAAGGTATCGCGACCGTGGATTTCGCGGTTGTAAATGGTGATATGCGCTATCGTCTTTCATTTTTATTGAGCTTTCTTTAGATAAAGATAGATCAACAATTTCATTCCCATGTCTTAGATGATGATAAAGTCAGCAGGATCCCCCGGTTAGGGAAAAATATAACTAGGTGAGTATTAACTGTTGACCCTAGTTGCAGGTTCGGAATCTGTAAGACGAAGATATGGAGA